AATGTCATTTGAATTATCCAGGGCTCTTTTATTCACTGTGAATCGCTAGGCATCCACATCAACAGCAACAATCCTTGTAACCATAATCTGTAATTTTAAATACTATTATAACCGGCTAACCGGAGACTTGTAGATTACCTAACTCTAGACGGCTACACCTCCTTACCTTGGCACTGAGCGAAAAGTGCGATTCCAAAGTGCCATTTCATTGCACTTTATTTGTTACAGAAATATTCAAATTGTAGAAAGAATTTATGGAAGACTTGCTGAACGCTCAAGTTGTGCCAAATTGCATTTTTCGCCCGCTACATTGCACAACGCTCTATATATTGAAGTTATATCTTCATGCTCTCGCGTACTTTTCAGGTATACTGTAAACAGCTAAACGAATATTAAAGTAACAATAATAAATGGGAAATAATGTAAATTTCCAATGAAATATTGCCAGATTTTGCATGACCAACCAACGTCGCATCTGTAGGTTTGTATTACTGAGAAAAGGCAGCTGACCTCATGCAGCAGCCGCAAATTAAGCCGCCTGTAATATTCATATGATCATCATACTCGATTTAAAAGACATCGTTGAGCTCGTACGAATAAAAATACTGAAATATAAATGTGTCACTTCCTTATTGTAACTGAACTACTTTATTAAGCTTTACTCGACTACCGCATTTGTATTAATTAACTCGTCGGTTTATCAAAAATTTTCTGTGTGTCTACCCAAATAAAAATTAAGGGTGGAGCACCGATGATTATAGGTGGCGATAGTAGATTATTGGTGGCGTAACGGTGGGTGGCCAGATCTGCCGTAAATCGACAATAAAACACCAATAAATCGAAAGAGTTGCGAGTATAGGTGGGAGCCATCGATGAATCATCGATGATTTATAGGGTCTGAAACATCTATGGCTCATTGCAGACAAATCTCTTGTGAGCCACCGATAACCGTTTTCCCAAACTGCACAGTGCACGAAGGTATTTACCACTGTAATTTATCCAACGTATAGTGAGGTGTTTTTGGGTTGCAGGTCATTCGAGATTAAGACGAAACCATGACTTGTGCTTGGCGTTCTGACGTTCGTTCGGCGTTCTGAGACGAAACGTTCGGTGTGCTTAGCATTTAAGATTAAGTTCTGTTAAGAATATTTAGCGCAAATTTAGCGTGAATTCAGTAGGTACGAGTAAAACTGACAGATAGAAGCAAGGTGTTCACAAATTTTCCAAAACAAAGTGAAGCCACTGGGCATGTATCACACTGCTTCTGATATAAATTGTCCGCAGAACAATGGAAAATTTTTGTCGCAAAAAATTGTTTCTCAAAAGTAGACAGCGAATCCAATTTTTTATGTTCACATGAGATACGGTATTGAGTAAATTTATTACGAATTATGCTTATACGCCAACTGGCTGTGTTGGAAATATTGCGATATGGTAAAGGTGGTGCACGCCACCCTTAATTCACTGTATAAATCAAAGCTGCTCCACCTATGGCGTCCGCCTATAGCCATCATAAAAACATAGGTGCTCCACTCTTAATTTTTATTTGGGTAGTTTTCGTACGTTGAAAACACGACTTCTTTATACTAAATTATTCAGTCAGGACAAACATGCCATGCGTGTTGAGTTTATATCAAATGACAAGTCTCCAAATGCATTCGATATTTTTTTAATGTTATCAACTGTTGTGGTGATAAAGAAGGACAGGAGAGGCTGCTCTCGAGAAAGCTTCCATGGACTACCCTTAGGTAGACTTGTGGACAAGACCCTTAATTTTCAATTTGTGATTCGCTTCTTAACGTCATCCTTCACATGTCATCGAATTCTTGTGCATATATATCAGATGTGGCTAGAATATTGTCAAATATCTACATCAAAATTTAACAACTCTCTGCAGTCGGAAGAGCAGAACAGAAACATGAGCGAAGAGGCGCCGCCGAAAAGTTCGTTGAGGAAGCGGAACTTTTGAGCGCGTCCTTCCGTAGGGACTTCCACGACTAGGAGCGCAGCCGCAAACAACAATTTCGTCAGGCCTAAAAATTTGCTGTGGCTTTAATGAACTGCCAGCTATATTAACGCCTCAAATTTGTATCTCCCCAAGGATGGAGAGTTTTTGGCCGACATCGCTTCCAATTCCTGTACATAACGGACCGTCGATGGCATCTTTAATATTTTCGGCACTCCCACATGACCAAGAACAAAATATACTGTACATGCAAAATATGTCTAAATCACGGAAAAGCTTGCAAATGAAAAGCTTGTTTAAATGACGTTTCTGGTAGATAAAGCTTTATATTTATTAACAAATTACTTTTTGATATATATTTCTCATACCAGTTGTCAGGAGGTGCGTGGATTTCAAAATATATCAATTCATAGTAGCCTTTTCAAAGCTCTATAAAAAGTTTAAAGAGGCTTTATTTTCTAGCCTATCCCACCGTTTTGCTTGTGAATTACACCAAGCAGACACTCGGAAATGTTGTAAATGTTCCATTGAAGAAATATTTTACGTTGCAAACCAGCTTCGTCCATTTCTAGCTCGATCTTTTATGATCCCTCGACAGATGCTGAGAATAAGTAAATCTGCAGGAGTTTTGTAAGGTGTCGGGCGAACGGTGCTCATTACCCGACACAATTCCGTGCTGCGTATCGCTCGAACAATTCTTGGCGCGCCTCGCCTGCTGTTTTCAGATACAGACCACGACGTACATTTGTGGCCAGGCGATGTTTTCAGATGCAGTCGGCGGCGAACATCTGCGCTCATATGAGCATCTCACGGACCTCTCTGCCTGCCCAAATATCTGGCCAATGCCAGCTTTAGCCCATATATCGCGGCAGCTTTATATTAGCCTTACGCGAACGCTGCTTCTGCCTCTGCCTCTGACTCGCTTATGATGTCCGACGCGTGCAAGAATCCACGGGCTCCAGTTGCTTAACTGGCCGCGCCTCGCTGCTTCCAGAGATCAGTTTTTAGTAAATTGGATGACTATTAACGCATTATTCGAGTCCTAAACTTATATATTAATGCTATCTACATCTCAATAGATTTTATGTAAATATTGATTGACATATTAAAATGCTGTTCGTGAAAAATTGTCAATTAGAAAAGTTTTCAGTTTTAACTTCGACCTTCGTGCATATACGAGCATGATCTTTCTATTGACAATCCAAATATCGCTTAATTCATGATCCTGTGATTTTAAAGTTTCGCCAGTTACATGACTGGCGTATTTCACCCTAACCGCATTGGGTTTAAATTAACTAATTTTTCTGTCGCTCGACTGTGAACCTCTGAAGTTTCAATCCATGTGGCTGTGCTCGTCGTGATAGCGAAGTCGTTTGCGTGACGATCTGTTATGCGGACCATCAAAATATTTGTTTGATTTAATTACTATATAATCGTATAGCAACTTATTAAAACAAATGTGAAGCAAGTCACTAGGATCATTCGGAGCAGTGCCAAATTCTCATTTTCTTTATTATTGAAGTACGCATATTTTGACTGTTCAAGTTGATTAATAATAAATTTAATTTTATTATTTTTCTTTGACTAAAACTTTGATATTGAAAACTCGAAACCAAGGAAGGAAATTTATCAAAAAGTTTCTACCAAAATTATTTTAAATTATTGTAAATTGCCTGTTTCTGCTATGTTAGGAGAGTTTGAAGCAATGATATACGGAGCATGACTCTTCGCTTAGAATCATGTTGTATTTTAATGAAACTCTGACGTAATTACATTAAAATTTTTACGCCAAATGACTTACTTTTTTCCCTTGTAACAAGTTTTTTCCTTAAAAATTAATTGCAGTTAATAATAGCATTTGAGAGTTGGAATATCGCTTGCCATAGCTATTGAGCTACATGCCACATGTCGTATGTACAATACATGCTACATGTCGAGCAAAACGATACTTGCGACAAACTACGCCAAAGACTCAATATATGAACATATTAAATACTGTCCTGCTGTGGTGGAAGAACAGGGTTTCTATGAATAATTGACATCCTGGTCATGAAAACGTGCCATTAAACCAAATTATGTTCCGTTTAGTAATACAAATCTTTTTACCTGAAATATTTGTAAATGGCCTGATTAAGTCCTGCTGGTCAATTATTTTAATTCAAGATAAACTTCAATTTTCACTGAAGTGTCTAATCTTGCTCATACTGTTTTAGTATATTTGAGAAAATTTCGGTTGTAAATATACAAAAAAATGCTCTTAACTTATGAAATAAAATACTTCATTATCAAAAAATCCATTTAACGATTTTCATTTAAATTTGTAATGATCAAATTATTAAGATTGGATCATATGTAATGAAGTACAACGTAATGCAGTTCGCGGATATGTAGTTTCTTACTGTACATAAACGTCGACAATTCACAAAATGTCATTTGTTAAAGTTGAAAAAAACTAAATTAAGTACAATACGCAGTGATTCAGAAAGTTTTTCAAGCACTATTACTACAACTTGTCCGTGCAAAAGTTTGCATAAATCCTGCTCTAAACTTTATTTTTCCCTGAGTTTCTAGTCGTGAAAAGTAATACGCTTTTACACTGTATCATTCCATTCGTCTGATGAGTTCCTTAATTATATTAGCTCAGAAACCTAACAAAGAAATTGAGAATGTTTACTAAATACCGTGATTTCCAAAATTATTTTTAAATTTTAATAGAATTGTTTAACAATACCATAATTTTCAAAGAAGACTTTGAAAACTTTATTTGATAATATTGAATTATTTGATGTTTTTTATTTATTATGCAATTACGTTGGTTTTCAACTCCTTAGCTTTCATAAAGTTTGATCCATATTAAGTACCATATTTATTTAGACTTGTTGTTGTTCCTTGAACAAGTCAGATTACCTGCTTTACAACTCCAATAACATGTAGACTTCTTGCACAAAAACCAAAACTTATTTTATTGATTTACGGAAATATATTGCGAAACCTTGCACGAACCTGGCCCACTGATTTTTTTTAATACCTTCAGGTTTCCTGAACACAAATGAAGACCCACTGAAGCGGTCCATCACCAACTACGGGCTCATGGACCAGATCGCAGCGCTGCACTGGCTCAACGAGAACATCGCGGCCTTCGGCGGTGATCCTGAGAGCATCACAATCTTCGGCCACGGCACCGGCGCCGCCTGCATCAACTTCTTACTCACCTCGCGCGCCGTCCCATCAAGTGAGTCTCGTGTTAGCGTCGTCCCACGTCCTGCATCAACTTCTTACTCACCTCATCGGCAACTCACAAAAGTGGGTCATCCTCAAGTCAGCATTGAGGTTTAAGTTTTACTAGAGTTGAGTTTATTTTCTACTAAGCCTCTAAGTCAGTCTTCTCTACTCAAATACTGACGGGTATGGCGATGTCAACCAATGATAAACTAACATTTCTAATTGATCAATTTATCGACAGAATGTTCACGTAAAGTTAGTTTAATGCCTTTCACCTTTAAAGCTTCATTCGTCATCCGAAACTTTAGAGGAACAACGCTTGTGATTTGAGTTTTTATTTGGTTATCCAAATTTCAAAAAATTACCTTTCCAAATGATATCTCGTGGTTTAAATTTTCTTTCTTTAAGCTCTGTACCAAGTGAATCTATATATTTGTAGCTATAATATCGGGTATACGTTTTTTTATCAACAGGATCAAAGAGGGGACTTGAAAGAGGTTTATAAGCTTTAGTGAAGCCTATAGATGCTCTTCTTTGCTGGCGAACATTATCTTATTATTCTTTTCAGCAGTACTTAAGTGAAGATTATACTTCTATGATGAGTTAACTAAGTAAAAAAAATAGTTTATAATCAATTTGGCTTTCATTTGATGGAAGCGCTTGCTTACACCTAAATATATATTCAAAATTCTGACTAAATAATACATTGTAAATGGCAAACTAAAAGCGCAATTGAGAGATCTGTTTTATATATTATTTGTCGTACAGCATTTGCTTATCTTAATTTGTCCCACGCATTTATTTATTCTTCAAATTAGGTTTTACTTTTCCGTTCCTCTTTAGCACGGACATCACTATTTTTTATATTTCCGGGTCGTAATAAAGTCGTACGGGAAATATTGGGGTTCACAATAAATTTTGCTGAAGAATTAAATTCCAATTTAAGGATCCCAAATTTCCTGAGGGATAATTGCCATGGACCGGCTACTGAACAATGATTGCGAGGCCGTAAATCCATCAGCCAATCACCATTCAAGTTTTACGCCGAACCTACCAATCACTGATATTAGATTGACGATCATTAAATGCTTACGATCATCGTAAATGTTTTTTTTTTTTGTGTGTGCGACCACAAAGCCCAGTAATTTACCGCCTTCATTGCTATTTAATCCATTAAAAAATTCTGCGACGTAAATTTTACTTAGTTTGTCAGTCGTTACCATTTTCACCGCATATATTTCTTCAGATGCGGGCCATTTTTTTTTTTTTTTTTGAATCCGTTCTCTTTCCTTGCAGATTTTGTCACGTGTTCCTAATTGCAGGCAATCTCGGGAGCGAAACATAATTGCTTTCATTTGCATAAGATGCTCACTTCCAGGCTCAGTCCTCCACTTTCCGTCAAATTTTATCCCATTGAAGAACGTTGGGAACTAAATTATATTTCTTAGATGCTCTCATCTATTTATTTTGCATACAAATTTTTCCTGCTGGTTATTTATTCGTTAATTTATATTTTATCATTATTAGGGGTATATAAATATAGAATTTTTTAGCGAAAGCACGATTGAACAATCATCAATATTTTTCAATCATGTTACTACTGCACAACGATGAATGCTAATATTCGTGTGATTAATATTTTTAATTTCACTCCACTCGTGTACTGTTATTCTGGTCCATGCATATCAATGCATTAATTTTCATCGTTTTAAGCTAACTTTCCTTTTCAATGCGCATTTCTGGACCTCATTGAAAATCTTGGCATATTCATGGATTGCCGTTTGCCTGCAGAAGAATTATCTCTGATTAATTAGAACGCGACGAAATTAAATTAAGTACGTGACGAAATTAAAAGATGTACGCGACGAAATTAAAATTAGTACGCGACGAAATTAAAATAATACATGACGAAATAAATAAGTACGTGAAGAAATTAAAATGAGTACATGATGAAATTAAAATCAGTATACGCCACGAAATTAAAATCTGTACCTGACGAAATTAAAATCAGTACGCGACGAAATTAAAATCAGTACGCGACGAAATTAAAACAAGTATGCGACGAAATTAAAATAAGTACATGACGAAATTAAGATCAGTACGCGAAGAAATTAAAATCAGTATGCGACGAAATTAAAACAAGTATGCGACGAAATTAAGATCAGTACGCGAAGAAATTAAAATCAGTATGCGACGAAATTAAAATTAGTACGCGACGAAATTAAAATAAGTACATGACGAAATAAATAAGTACATGACGAAATAAATAAGTACGTGAAGAAATTAAAATGAGTACATAATGAAATTAAATCAGTACGCGACGAAATTAAAATCTGTACGCGACGAAATTAAAATCAGTACTCGACGAAAGTAAAATAAGTACGTGACGAAATTAAAATAAGTACGCGACGAAATTAAAATAAGTACGCGACGAAATTAAAATAAGTACGCGACGAAATTAAAATAAGTACGCGACGAAATTAAAATAAGTACCCGACGAAATTAAAATCAGTACGTGAAGAAATTAAAAAAGTACGCGACGAATTTAAGTGTTTTAGTAAAAGTACATTAGCGCTGCGGCTCTCCGCTAGCATTCTTTGAGCTCATTTTCAAGAATCATTTTTCTTCCCGTGAGCTCATGCGAGTCGTGAGCTCAGGGACTGGTTGAAACTGATGCATACCGAGATAAGGTAAACCAAATATCAAATATAAACTCTATTTTGTTTAAAATACTCGACTCAATATACTTCAGCACATGCACAAATTTCTGTTTCTACAACAAAAGTTCTAATAAAGATGAATTTTTTTGCTCTTTTTAATAATAGCATAATTTTAAGGATATTTTCCTGAAAACTACCTTGGTTCATCATTCGACAATTATTTTCATATTCCATATTGATCCACGACTGAGAGTACATTTTTTTAACTCTCCTACCTCAGTTGCTCGTTTACTCTCCTCCAATGTAATGACTCCTTGACTTATTCAATGCTACACCGGAAACTCTCCTTAATGCACCTGTAACGAAATGCTCTCCCTCATAGTAGTGACTGCCTGGTTTAACTAAAAGCCCAAGATTCTGCGGAGTAGCTGAGAATATAGATACACATATGCTCCTAAGCACCTTACTTAAGATCAATATTTGTCCGAGCAGCTTAGGAAAAGCCTCAGTCAACCGAGAAAATATCACAATGGCTTAAACTTAGTCTCGCCCGATCCTCTAGTTTTCGACCAACTTTTCAGAACGGACGTATTTTGGAGTCCAAGTCTGAGTGTATCCATAGAAAAACAACCTGAGAAAATCTCAAAAAGATTTTTATCTTAACTTATTAACTTGCTTTTAAAAATTTAATATTCATATGATTAAGTTACATTAAGAAACCAGGCAGGTAAGATAAATCTAAGATCGCTGGCATTGCTGCAAAACAATGGCCGGATGATTATATATTAATGACCAAAATATATCTATTAAATATTTCATGCACCGAGAAACTTTAATTTTTCCGACTACATAGCAAAACCCCTTCTTCATTTTATACGCGGTTTTAGGTTTGTTATAATTGCTTAACAATAAATTTATGATGATGCGTTGATGACAATTATCACATACTAACGCATTGTTATAAAACATGTCCTATCGCCATTCCAGATAACATTATTTCTGATTCGCTGCAAGTTTCAAATGAGCAAATTGATGTAATATGTTGGTCGCAATATTCAGACAGTTGTAACAGAAGTCGTTTGACTTAAATGGGTAAATATTTGGGTTGTTCCAATACATGTTTTCGATTATAGCTGATACTTAATTTATTCTAGGAGAATCTAGTCAAGTGATACAAGTTTAGGAAACGAACATTTGTAGGAAAAATCGAAGACATGCTAGACGAAAACATGTTAGTTTAGAATCGATAGAAGGGTTCACATGGGAGTGGCTTCCAGCTTTGCAGAATCACTGTGGGTAAGCCGCTTTTGATTTTGTTTTCATTTAAAATATTTGAAGTATGAATGATTTTTCTCGGAAAATTAAACCCAGCGCTCGCAATGATCTTAATTTTTTATATGGCTCGAATAATTCTTATACCACTTCAAGCTGTTCTCTATTTTTCAGACGGTAGTAAGGGAAAATTTAACATTTTGTCATAAGATCCTGTAGGTTGTAATATATAACATTCTTTAGCAGAACCTGTAAGTAACCTTAATGGATTTTCAATCCACTTGCTGTTCAATCTTTCTTCGCTGCTCTTGGGAGTTGGCAGCTCATGTTACAAAAAACTGCCAGAAGCTTTTGTGTGATAGAAACTTAACAAATAAATAACAAAAATATTGTGAAGGGTTTCCTAAAGATTGAAAAATTGAATTATCCTTCACCCATGACCACGGACAAGCTAAAATACTACTAAAGAATTTCGTCCTGTATATTAAAAATCTTTTCCTAGAAACAACTGCTGTTTGTGGAGAATAAAAAGTTAAATTATTTATTTTGGCAAATAGTTATGATAGTTCGACTTCTAAGTGTGTATGCAATTTAATCATGATACTTGAAAACAAATCTGAGAAATTTTATTCTGTGTAATTTTTTGTTCCACTATAGTTTCAGATTCTTTTGAAACCGTCCCCTTGAAAAATTCACAAATGCCACCTAGCAAAGCCTACGGACGATTAAATTCACTCAAGTTACTGACTAGATTATGCTCCAATATCTTTTTTTCCTTTTAAAACTTTTCAGCGACAATCCACAGTTCATTTATTGAGAAATCTCTTCATGTTTTACTAATTTCTTTGTTGATATTTACACGAGTATATTTTTACAATGTAGTTTCATAGCATCCACGACTTATAAGCGATTACTTCAATATTCACTTGCAGTCGCTGAGCCAATGAATAATTTGGCGCTTCAAAAATACGATTTTGTAACCGAAAGTTTCTTCTACTCAACTTTTGGTTTAGAACCCCATTTCGGCTCGTCTGCATCAAGAAAATAATCGTTATGCTTGGAAATCAATGGAGATCTCTGAATTACTTTTAAGTTCCATGATATGTTGCGTGTTTTTCTGTATTGTATGTGAAATATTGCATGAAATATTGCTCACTGCTAAAATGAATACTATTATTTAATTATTATTTTGTCATAACGATATCAAAAATATCAGGATTACTTCAGCAAGTCGGATATTTCACTGTCTGCCTTTTTCATGAGAAATATTTTTGCAGAAATGTTTCGTCGGAGCGAAGAAATTCATCCAGCAGGTTTGTGTCTTGAGCCAATAAAACGCACACAAGATTTGCCCTTCTGGACGTGAAAAAAGCATAGAAATGTATTTTTTGAAGCATTCTGAAGGAAATGAAATGTTCAATCGATTTTAATCGATTTTTACCGTCACAGAAACTGCGGTTTTCCTATGAGGCAAAAATCTTGGATTTGCATTAAGCTCTCAACTTTGGTGCATGTTAAAAAACAAACTGAAAGTTTAGACAATAGTTGATAGTTTCTAAATCCGGGTTGTGGCATTAATGCATCTTTTCATTCGTGCTGCGACAGTAACGCGACCCTTTGTTTGTACGGCAACAGTAACGCGCCTTTGTATTCGTACTGTGACAGTGACGCGTCTTTTTACTTCAGTTGCACGAGTAACACGTCTTCGTAATAGTACTGCGACGGTGGCGCGTCTTTTGTTTCTGTTATAACCGTAACGCGCCTTTGTATCGTACTGCGACAGAGGCACGCTTTTTTATTTCAGTCGCAACCGTTACGCGCCTTTGTATTCGCACCGCGACAGTGGCACGCTTTTTATTTCAGTCGCAACCGTTACGCACCTTCATTTCGTGTTGCGACAGCGACGCGTCTTTTTATATCTGTTGTAACTGTTACGCGCCTTTGTATTCGTACCGCGACAGTGACACGCTTTATTATTTCAGTCGCAACCGTAACGCGCCTTTATATTCGTGTTGCGACAGTGGCACGCTTTTTTATTTCAGTCGCAACCGTAAGACGCCTTTGTATCGTACTGCGACAGTGGCACGCTTTTTTATTTCAGTCGCAACCGTAACGCGCCTTTGTATTCGTGTTGCGACACTGACGCATTCTTTCTATCACGACTGCCTCGGTGGCACACTTGACTGGCAAGCTACACCGCAATAACAGCGCTGCAAATACGACGGTAAGGCGCAGCTGTCGAGCAGGTGTCATCTCTCAGCGACCGAGGTTATCAATCATTGTCCGGTAATCTGGCCGAGGCCGCGGACCTTCTGGTCTCTCTGTCACCGTCAAAATAAAGTCATAAAACCAGACGTTGAGCTAGCCTTGGTAACAAGATTTGT